CAGATTTGGACTACTAGGACTGTAGTGGAAAGCCGCCACCTGATAATGCTGCTTACAGAAGTCGCTTAGATTTTTTGACTCTAAATGTTTGTGGTTTAAGGTCAAAGCTTAGGTCACCAGATTTAGAAAATTTGTGTCAGAACTACGATATTGTCAGTTTCATAGAAACAAAACTAGATGAATACGATTCTGTCAATATTGCAAATTTTACTGGGCTTCATTTTCTAAACCGAAAGAAATTTAAATGCAAGTCAGGTGGCATTGCTGTGTTTGTTAAAAACAATTTGTTTGGTAATATAGAGCTATTGAAATGTGAAACAGAAAACGTTTTATGGTTTACTTTCAAAAATAATTTCTTGACAGAACAAGTTGTTTTTGGTATTGTTTATATTCCTCCTGAGGGTAGTTGTTATAGTTCCATTGACATTTTTAATGATGTTGAATCTGAAGTTGTTAGATTCATTGCTGAGAATAATGCTTAAGTCTGTATGATGGGTGGTTTTAATTCTCATACTGGAGATTTGCCTGATTTTATTAACATTGATGAACAGATTTGTGAATCTTTGTTTTTGAACTCTGATATACTGAATATTGATACTTGTAGCAATGTAGAAATGATAACAAGATGTAATATGGATAAGTCTGTCAATAATTATGGTAAACGCTTAGTTAACTTTTGTAAAAGTTTAGACATGCTTATAGTAAATGGTAGATTAGGTAAGGATGGCGGATTAGGCCATACCACTTGTAAAAATACAACAGTTGTTGATTATTGTATAGCATCACCTACTATTTTTAAAAACATTATAGAATTCGAAGTACTACCTTTTGATCCTATGATCAGTGATGTTCACAGTGCATTGCATTTTGTTTATTCTTGTAAGGAAAAACAAAAGACCGATTCTCTAATCACAGAGAATGATGATGTATGATTAGATCTAAGTGGATAAAAGAGAATACTACTGATTTTGTGTACAATCTAAATGATGAAGAGATTGATGTTTTAAACCATAGAATTGAAACCTTGGATTTTAATACAATTAACCAAGAGATAGTTGAGGATATAATTAATGATTGTAATGCAATAATTAAAGTTGCTGCTTCGTCAAGTGATATGGTCAAACCCTATAAGCTTGATTATCACAAAAATAAGAAATCTAAACCTAATAAACCTTGGTTTAATGCAGAATGTAATGTAAAGCGTAAAAATTACCACAAATCCAAAAAATATCACTGGCGTATGAAAACTTTAGAGTCCAGAAATAATTTACTACAATGCAGTAGAGAGTACAAAAAAAATGTTAATAAATGTTACAATGAATACAAGAAAAATTTATATGCCGAGTGAAGAACTTGCAAAACAACGACCCTAAGTCATTTTGGACTTTGATTAACAAATCAGGTACACAAAGAAAGATCGAAGATAAAGTTAGCTTAGAGACTTTTTAAGACCATTTTAAGAAATTAAATTCAGACAGTAGAGATGATGACTTTGATAATTTTGACATTGAAAATATTTCTGAATTAAATGGAGATTTGAATGCTGAAATTACATAGAAGAAGTACAAAAGATGATTAAGTTACTGAAGAACAATAAAGCTTGTGGTAATGACCTTATACTGAATGAATTCCTTAAAAATTCTCAAACAAAAATGATCAGTACTTTTACAAAAATCTATAATCTTGTTTTTAAACCTGGAATAATACCCTCATCTTGGTCTGAAGGAATTATTTGTACTATATACAAGAACAAAGGTGATTCTAGTGATCCTGATAATTATCGCGGAATAACTGTATTAAGTTGTTTTGGTAAGTTGTTTACTGCAATATTGAACAATAGACTTGATAAGTATCTGGAGAGCATGAATCTCCTGTGTGAGGAGCAAGCTGGGTTTCGGAAAAGTTATAGTACAGTTGGTCATATTTTCAGTTTGAAGTGTTTAATTGATTTTTATTTACAGCGTAAAAAGCGACTATATTGTGCATTCATTGATTATAAAAAAGCTTTCGACTCTATTAACAGGGTGGCTCTTTGGCATAAACTGGTACGTCATAGTATTTATGGAAATTTTCTTAAAGTTGTTTATAGTATGTATAATAATGCAAAGTCGTGTATCCGTCAGGGTAGCAATGTGTCAGAGTATTTTTACAGTAATGTCGGTGTGCGTCAAGGTGAAAACTTATCACCTGTTCTGTTTTCAATATTTTTGAATAACCTTGTCGATTTTATTTCTAGGGCATATGATGGTTTAACAAATGTTACAGAAGCTGTACATTTTTTGCTATGTACAGAAGAGGTAGACATATTCCTGAAACTTTACTTGTTACTTTATGCTGATGACACTGAAATTTTGGCAGAGTCAGCACCTCAATTACAAGCTGCTTTAAATGCAATGTTCTTATATTGTAAAACTTGGAAATTGCAAGTTAATGCATCTAAAACAAAGGTTGTTATTTTTAATAAACCTAAAAATGACAATTCACAAATGGTCTTTACATATGAAAACAAAAACTTATCAGTTGTTGATGAATTTGTTTACTTAGGTGTAAGTTTTTCTAGTAATGGATCTTTTGTTAGTAATAAAACAAAGCTACTTGAGCAAGGTAGGAAAGCTATGTTCAGTTTACTCAAGAAAGTAAGATGTTTAGATTTGCCTATAGACATTCAGCTGAAATTATTTGACAGTATGATTACACCCATATTGCTTTATGGCTGTGAAATATGGGGAATTGACAATAACAATGTCATAGAAAGTTTATTTTTACAATTTTACAAAATAATTTTAAATCTGAAAAAATCTACCCCTAATCATGTTTTATATGGCGAACTGGGTAGATATCCAGTAGAAATATTTATTAAGTCCAGAGTTATTGGGTTTTGGCATAGACTTGTTTGTGGTAAACAAGAAAAAATATCTTTTCTCTTATATAAATTGTTATTAAAGCTTAGAGAACATGACTTAATGCAGTCTAAGTGGATTAACTATGTTGAAAAAACACTAAATGACTGTGGAATGTCCGAGTTATGGTTACAACAGTATTCTCCAAAGAAAACGTTGGTGTCAAAATTGGTAAAAACTAGATTAATTGATCAATTTAAGCAGAATTGGTATGCCAGTATTTTTGATATGCCAAAAACCCTTAATTATAGGTTATTTAAATTAGAACATAGTTTTGAAAAATATTTGATTTATCTTCCAAAAGATTTGAGAAAAGCTTTATGTAAAGGACTATATTCTGTAGTGGCCAGTATCTGCCCCCGAAATAAAACTTTGATGGAGAAATCTTTAATTATGTTCTAAACCAGGTGGATCCCCCCCCCGCCTACATTTTATCCCCATGTAATTCAGTATAAATGGCATTTTGGATATTAAAACTTTTTTTGAATGCAAAGAATATTTCACTAGTATTTGTGAAATTCATGGCCCAAAGGTCAGAGGTTCTGGTGCTAGGTGAGGCAATTTAGATCATATAGTGAAAGTGCATTACTTTGACAATCTTCTCTGCTCCTTGGTATTAAATAAACTAAGTACTTAGTTATGTTGAACAAGGCTACCTCTTCCCGAATTGTGAATTTCATGGCCCCTGGGTCAGGTGTTCTGGTATTGGGGGGGGGGGGGGGGGCTCTATTGATTATATAGTGAAAATGCATTAATTCTTTGAAAATCTTCTTCTCTGCTCCTGGTTATGAAACAAACTTAGTACATAGTTATAAAGAGGAAGAGTGCCTCTTCCAAAGTTGTACATTTCATGGCCCCTGGGTCAGGGGTTCTGGTGTTAGGGCGGGTCTCTTGATTATATAGTGAAAAACATCAATTCTTCGAAACTCTTCTCTGCTCCTGGGTATTAAACAAACTGATCCAGGGGCCATGAAATTCACACTTTTGGAAGAGGCACCCTTGCTCATCATAAGTATGTACTTAGTTTGTTTTAATCAAACCTAGGAGCTGAGGAGACTTTCGAAGGAATAATGCACTTTCATTATATGACCTATATTCTCGTAAATGTTTGTTTTGATGCAGTTGTGGCATCATTGTTCAAAGTATTGAAACTATCTGAGAAAAGTAATTAACACAGTTATGAACAAAAAAGAGAATACAGTGTACTTTTATATTGATTTTAACTTAAGAATGTTTTTCTTATGTTTCTTAAGTTCTTAAAATTCATTTTAGAGCTGAAACCGTTCTTGAAATAAATAATGTATTACAGAAATTTCGCTTTTCCTGAACGTAAAACACCTTAGCATGAAGAGTTATCGTTCTTTGTAACTATATGCATAATTTAATTAACAGATAAATTAAAGATTTGGCAGCTCTTTTTACTTTCAAGAAATTTTTATTATACATACTGGCCAAAATTAATTAAAAAAAAATTTATACACCTCATTCAGCAAATTTTATTTATTTTGAATTTCTTTTTTTCCCCCAATATTTCATTAAAAACTAAAATTCCTTTCGCACAATATTTAATATATATTTCTGAATGCATTCTATTAATGGAGTAGCTTATTCTGTGTGCATGTGAGAAAGAAACTGCACTCCTAGCAGAAGATGTGTACAAAGTGATATATTTACATTTCTAATAATTTTTACCTATGATTCTTTACGAATTCCAAAACAATTCATTTTCTCATGAACTACCATAAATAAGCTTGTCTCCATTGTTACGTCATAATAACATACTTGACGTCAAAACTGTAGTGCAAAGGGTTTTGCTTTCAAAATTGACAGTTGAATGGCATAATTTTTTCAACTCATCAGAAAATAAAGTTAATATCAGATATGAATTTAATTTCTTAAAAATTCATGAGATACATGAACTACAATGCTTCTGGCCAGCATATTTATCATGAAGCGCATACGCGCTTCATAAAATATGGCGGCATGAAGCGTCATAGTTCATGTCCTCATGAATTTTCAAAAACTAAATTCATTTCTGTATTATGAATGCAACTTTTGAGTGCAGTTTCATAGTTGGAGAAAACAGAAAGTATGCAAATATAATGTTATGGTTAAAATTTGGATTTATAAGACATGACGAATGGTAATAAAAAAATAAAAACACATTTTACTTTTAAAATGTCATGTATTACATCATTTAAACATATATTAATTCATTGACTTTGGAAGCTGCCTTGTTATTATTCACATTGTGTTAAAAATTGAAATTATTCATGTCATAAACATTTATATATACAAATTTAAAAAATGGTGAACCTGATAATATACAACATTATCTGTACAATGCAATTAAACTTACAAAATAATAAAAGGTATGCAATAAATTAATAATATTTATGTAATAGTTAAAACATTTGGAAAGTATTTTCTTAATTCATAATTTCTTTATACAATGTATATAAATTCTATGTATCATTTAAGTAATCCTGACAAACATGTACTTTTTTAAATGCTTAAAAAACTTGATTTTTTTTTTTTTTTGTCAAAACAACACATCTTTACTAAATATTTATATTTTTACATGTACATAAAGTCAAATAAGAGGCCCATGGGCCACATCGCTCGTCTGAGCACTTTGGCCAGGAAAAAGCAGAAATCAATTCAGTATTGAAAAGTTTAAATATAAAAATAAATTTCTTTGCTGTTCTTGAAAAGAAGATTTTCAAAGATTTTTCTACGTATTCCAATGTAAAACTTTGATTGCCCATTGTGGCCCTACCCTACCCCCGGGGGTCATGATTTGAAGATTTGAATATACCTGAGGATGCTTCCATATAAATATGACCAATCATAGCTTTGCTTTCTTGAGAAGATTTTTAAAGATTTTTTCCTATGTATTCCTGTGTAAAACATTGCTTGCCCACTGTGCCCCCCCCCCCCATCCCCGGGGGTCATGATTTATACAAAATTGAATCTACACTACCTGAGGATGCTTCCAAATAAATATGACTAATCATGGCTTTGCTGTTCTTGAGAAGATTTTCCTTATGTATTCCTATTAGGGATGTCAAAATATTTATTTTCTTTAGTCGAATATTCGATTGCATTATTCGAACGACAGTGGAATATATTCGAAACTTTTTCGGAAACTAAAATTTTATTTCAAACTTCACTGGTACATCACATATCAAATCCCAAATCCCCCCTTTTTTTAAATTGATTAAAAAGTTACATAAAATGTTACACACAGATGTTCACATGGACTTAAAATGTGGATAGCGTGTTTATATTTACTTATTATCCCATGTTTACCCCTTTATCCCGTGGATATGACTCATTGGATAATTTTTTCATAATCCACAGTTGTGACGTCACAATGGTTTTTGCGTTAGCGCGATGAAGTAAAATAAAGTGGAGTCCTATATAAAACAGTGTAAAACATTGGTTGTGAAGTATTAAACATGGGATAAAAAGAATCTCCCATGATTTGTAGTTGGATATGACTTTTATCCAACTCGTTGTGTGTTTTTATCCCCTCGCCAAGGCTCGGGGATAAAAAACACACAACTCGTTGGATAAAAATCATATCCAACTACAAATCATGGGAGATCCTATATATATAGACCGTTAATTTCTCCAAAATGTAGGATTTCACCGTCAATCATGTTCATAAATTGGTCTGTAAAGTCGGTTTTTTAGGAAGCATAAAAAATGACTGTGTGATATATTTTTTTAAAGCTTATTAAAATGATGGGGGGGGGGGGGGGGGCACATACGGTGACCTTGATAATGTTAAATATTTGAATATACTTTTTGTGCCAATTATCAAAATGTCTTTAAAATATGTAAAAGAATATTAATTTTATAATAATTATCGTAGTGTCCAAACATGTCACGGCTTTTATGGGTACATGGTATGAGATCAAGTCCAATTAATAGTTTTACAAAGAAAGCGCAGTATGGCGAGATAATTTTATTATGAAAACAACACATTAATTGACAATAATTCACGCGGAAGTGAAGCGTTTCTAATCACTGTACTTTCTACATGTAAAGTCAGCAGTTTTTAATGAGGAAAATTATCTTATCGACTGTGTCTGAGGGAAGACGGTTTCTCAATTTTAGGATGAGAATTCCAACTCTTTATCACTCTTTTATTGAATTTATTTATTCGAATGTCGTTTCGTTATTCGATCGTCGGTCCATTCGACTGATGGTCGAATAGTCGACTATTCGTTGACATCCCTAATTCCTATGTAAAACTTTGATCACCCATTGTGGCCCCACCCAACCCCAGGGGATTATGATTTGAACAAACTTGAATCTACACTGCCTGAGGATGATTCAACATAAGTTTCTTATTTTCTAGCACAGTTGTTTTTGAGAAGAAGGTTCTTAAATGATGCCATTAATTTTTCACTTATTCATGATTATCTCTCCTTGCAAGAAAGGCATGGCCCTTCATTTGTACAAACTTGAATCCCCTTTACCCAGGGATACTTTGTGCAAGTTTGGTTGAAATTGGCCCAGTGGTTCTTGAGAAGATGAAAACGTGAAAAGTTTACAACCACGACAACCACAGACAATGGACAAATTTCAATCAGAAAAGCTCACTTTAGCCTTCAGCTCAGGTGAGCTAAAAATCAAATGATGAAACATTTTAGTGATATGACTGAAAGCATGGAAAGCATATGGTATGCATTTTATTAGAATGTAGAAATTCAAAATTTTACTTTCATAAAATCATTGAAAATCTTAAGGAGATTAAAAAAACACAATGCCCATACACCACAACACTCATATGATAGCTAAAGTTCTGTTGTTCTTTTTCAAATTTTATGACTTTTATATTCCCTTGAAAATTTGTCACCCCTCATTATGGTCCTAACTCTAACTCTGAGGGGTCTCTAAATCAACACAACTTGGGGATGCCTCAATGACTGACATGGCCTTGTAGATATGGAAAAGAAAATTCTTTTCCTGTATACATGTACATGCATTACTGTAAGTAAAATTTGATCTTGATTTTAGATAACTCCAACCTGGGGTCCATAAATAAAAATTATGGCAGAGCCTAGGGATGTTGCAAATCAATGGTTCTGTTGTGGTTTTTCATCAGATTTCATTTTTTATTATCCCTTTCTGTGGAATTTTTAGTCAGATACATTTCCCCCCTTAAAATCAGCCCAATATTGTGATCCAAACCTACACCTGAGGACTATGATTTGAACAATTTACAATCTATATTATATACGAAACCTTTCACAAGTTCCAACATTTTGGGTCAGGAAATCAATACAAATTACTTAAGATACAGGTAGTATCTGAAATATCTAAATACAACCATAAAATTTCAAACATAGGTCACCCAGACCTACTCTTTGGTTGAAATACTCCAAAGACTTCAAATGCATCAAATGAAAAAGAAAATTAGCTTCTTTTTAAGAGAAATATTTACATATAGCTTTGGGAGTTTGTAACTAGGTCACCATGACCTACTTTTCAGTGAACATACTCCAAGTTCCCAAGATGCATCAACTAACAAAGTTTGATGATTGTAAGACAATCAGTTTGTGATATATTTAAATATAGCCAGGAAATTCCAAAAGTAGTTCATCTTAAACTATCTTCATTTGATCAAACTTGAATTTTATTAACCCAATTTTGGTTGAAATTTGTCCAGTTGTTCAAGAAAAGAAGATGAAAATGTGTAAAGTTTATGGCAATGCTGATGCCAAAGACAACAGACGATGGACAAATTTTGAACAAAAGAGCTCATTAAGCTTTCAGCTCAAGTTAGCTAAAAATTAGATCACTATGACACACTAAGTCAACATGAGGTCCCAAGATGCATCAACAGACAATATCTGATGATAATAGTCTTTATAGTAGGCAAAATATGAAAGTTTTAACAGAACATAATTGAGGTCAACCTTGAAGTGACCTTGAGACCATGCCCTTTGCCCCAGGATGATGCCTTAAACAATTTAAATGTAAAACATATCTTCATCCTCATGTGCAAGTTTGATGATAATCTGCCAAGTGGTTCATGAGACGATGTTTTAGAATCCCCCCTTTTTTGCCCTAATTATCTTCCCTGTTTAATGGTCACAGCCTTATTAGGTATAAATTAAAGACCTTGGGCCAAGGACACTCTGTGACAAATTTGACAAATATTGATGAAGTGGTTCTTAAGATATGGCTAGTATTCCTAAAAGTTTATGCACACTGCACAAATGGCCATAGAATATGTCTTTCAATATTTGGTTCAGATGAGCTAAAATACCTCTTGTCCATTTCAATACAGCATTAATGATGGTGATTTGTCAAAATTTTTTTTTAGACAGGATGTTAGTTGTCCCCTTAGTTTTTCTCTGCCCTGCTACTTTTTCATGAACAGAATGCATTAATTTTATATGGAGAATAACCTTAAACAATTCTTGTCGATCTGATTTTTTCAAAAAATCGTATCGTCGACTGTAGTGAAGAACCGGTTTCTCCATATGCTTAAGTGATCCCTTTCTGGTGGTATTTTGAATTTTTTCCCAGCTGAGTTCAGTTAACTGTAGATGTGTAACAGTCACCTGCAAAGAAAATTTAAAATATTTTTTTTCAAGGAGAGTGATAATTATAAGAGGTGTAATTAATAAGAGGCCAAAGGGCCTTAATGGTCACTTGAGTATAAAACAACAATCCATAGAAGATCCATAGAGTATACGAGTAAAATGAAGTGATAGAGTAAGCTTTTGCAAATCTTTCATTGTCCAGTGTGGCCCACCCTACCCCTGGGGATCATGATTTTAACAAACTTGAATCTACACTACCTTAAGATGTTTCAACATTTCAACATTTCTTAGCCAAGTGGTTCTGGAGAAGAAGATTTTTCCAATGTATTCCTATATAAAACTTTGATCATCCATTGTGGCCCTGTCCTACCCCCAGAGGTCATGATTTGAACAAACCTGAATCTACACTACCTGAAGATGCTTCCATACAAATATGACTCATAATGGCTTTGCTGTTCTTGAGAAGACGATTTTTAAAGAGCTTTCCTAAATAATTCTATGTAAACTTTGATCATCCATTTTGGCTGCGCCCTATCCAGAGGGTTCTGGAGAAGATTTTTAAAGATTTTTTTCTACATATTTCTTTGTAAAATTTTGATCCTCCATTGTGGCCCCACCCTACCCCTAGGGATTATTTTAACAAACTTGAGTCTACACTACCTGAGGATGTTTCCATGTAAGTTTCATCTGACCTGGTCCAGTGTTCCTTGAGAAGAAGAATTTTAAAAGATACCAATAATTTTTCACTAATTCTTAATCATCTCCCTTTGGAAGAAGACACTGGCCCTTCATTTGAACAAACTTAAATCATCTTTACCCAAGGATACTTTGTGGCAAGTTTGGTGGAAACTGGCCCAGTAGTTCTTGAGAAGAAGTGGAAAATGTGAAAAGTTTACGCACACCCGCACAACGAGGACGAAAACAGATAGCAATAGGTCACCTGAGTGACTCTGGTGATCTATTAAAATATTACATGTTTTCGACACAATTTTTATGGAGCATAACTCGATAAAATTTTCAAGCTTACTTTGGTAGCTTTTAATGTGTTAAAGTACAATTTTACACAAAATCACCAGAAAACAACTTGCCACTCTGGATTTATGATGCCCTATTTTTCAAAATTTAACTTGCAGCCAAGCATGGTGCATATTTATTTGTACCATTAACTCCAGCTTATTTAATCATATAATAATAAGTCAAATGACATCATATTAAAGGTCAGACTAAATATTAAGAATAGTATGAAAGAGTGTCAAATTACATTTGGTAAAACTTTGCTTCACTGAGAAATGAAGGCTTAAAATTGTATAATTGATAAATTTGTTACCCGCATATTGTTCTTGATTTTGTGTTTTAAGGGGGGATCTATGTCCAAAAAGTCTTTGTGTGAATTTTTCGAAACTTTTCTTGCCTTGCAACTAACCTATATATTTAAGGCAATATAAATATTACCTTTATGTCCTCTAAAAGCTATATCATATTAAATAGTATGAAGAAAGCATTTTATTAACTAGTGTTGCTAAATTAACCTGATTTTTAAAAGCTTGTAACTCACAATAATAAATGCCCCGCCGAGGGTACATTAGTAATACAACATGAAAATTTGTTTTAGTGTATGAAATTTGATGAGAATATCTTGAATAGTTTCTTTAAAATTGAAATTGAAATCTAACAAGAGGCCCAGGGGCCACATCGCTCACCTGAGCACTATGGCTAGGAAAAAGCAGAAATCATTTCAGTCTTGAAAGGTTGAAAAGTTTAAATATAAAAGTGTTTTGGGGGGGGGGGGGGCATGAATTGAACAAATTTGAATCTACATTACCTGAGGATGCTTAAATATGACCAATCATGGCTTTGCTGTTCTTGAGTAGAAGATGTCTAAAGATTTTTCCTATGTATTCCTATGTAAAACTTTGATCACCCATTGTGGCCCCACATCCTACCCCCAGTAGTCATGATTTGAACAAACTTGAATCTACAATATCTAAGAATGCTTCCATATATGACTAATCATGGCTTTGCTGTTCTTAAAAAATAGTTTTTTTAAAAAGATTTTTACTATGAATTCCTATGTAAAACTTTGATTGTCCATTGTGGCTCCATCCGACCCCCGGGGGTCATGATTTGAACAAACTTGAATCTACACTACCTGAGGATGCTTCCATGTAAATATGACCAATCATGGCTTTGTTGTTCTTGAGAAGAAGATTATTAAAGATTTTTCCTATATATTCCTATGTAAAACTTTGATCGTCCATTTTGGCCCCACCCTACCCCGGGGGGGTCATGATTTGAACAAATTTGACACTACACTACCTGACAATGATTCCACATGAGTTTCATCTTTCCTGGCTCATTGGTTCTTGAGAAGAAGATTTTTAAAAGATGGCATTAATTTTTCACTATTTTGTAATTATCTCCCCTTGGAAGAGGGCGTGGCCCTTCATTTGAACAAACTTGAATCCACTTTACCCAAGGATACTCTGTGCCAAGTTTGGTTGAAATTGGCCCAGTGGTTCTGGAGAAGAAGATGAAATTGTGAAAAGTTAATGACAACGCCGACGACAACGACGACAGACATAGGACGAATTTTGATCAGAAAAGCTCACTTGTGCCTTCGGCTCAGGTGAGCTAAAAAGTTGTTTGTAGTTGAGAAATTCTCGCCAAATTATGTATAAGTGCATAAACTTACATAAATATATCTTAAATGGTTTCTTTAAAATTAAGCAAAATGCAAATCTAAGAAAAGTGAGGTCAAGGTCACAGGAAAGTTCAAGGTCAAATAATTTTTAGGCATTTGAATACTTCTCACAAATAGTATCAGCACATTTAAGTTTGATAAAAATATTTTGAATGATTTCATTAAAACTGAGCTACACATTAATTTAAGAAAATTGAGGTCAAGGTCAAAGGAAAGGTCAAGGTCAAAGAATATTGATGCAGTTGAAAAGCTCTCATCAGTATGTATCTGCGTATGAAGTTTGATTAAAATATCTTGAATGATTTCATTAAAACTGAGCTACACACTAATTTAAGAAAAGTGAGGTCAAGGTCAAAAGAAAGGTCAAAAAATGTTGATGCAGTTGAAAAGCTTACATCAGTATGTATCAACATATGAAAGAGCTAGGTTCACTTTATGCATAAAATGGCCCTGTACATAAACCAATTTATCCACTTACACACTATGTCCCTTTCTCAACATCAATATAAAGTATAGACTTGGCCCTTTCAGTTTGTATATAAAAGTTTCCTCTAAAGAGTCCAGGTACTCGAAAACAGGTTGTGTGAAATTGCAATGTTCTTGAATTTTGCAGAAAACAGTAGAGTTTGAGAACCTTCAACAAAGAATTAAAATATGAGCACACTCCTCGATCCAAAAATTAAAGTATATTTTATAATCTTAATTAGCAGTTTTTTCGTAATATATTTGCACATTTTGGATCGGAGGTTGTGCTGTATATGAAATATGGAAAAATAGCATCATATTTTGGCCATTTTTGAAGAAAAATTCGGGATATGTGAATAATGATGCAATTCATGACGTCATAATGCATTGACTATCAAGAAAATTACGTCATTTTTAGGAGAAATTCAGTCTCCAAGTGTTCAAGTAATATTTATTGCCTTGTTGACTAAAACTATGCAGTTTTAATTTTTCAGAAATTTTGAGGGCCAAAAAAGGCCCTAAGTGGCCCTTGCTCTTTGATTTCACTATCTTGAATGGTATCTTTAAAACTGAGCTAAACACTAATTTAAGAAAAGTGAGGTCAAGGTCAAAAATTTTGATGCAGTTGCATAGCCCTCATCAATATCTATCAGCATATGAAGTTTGATAAAAATATCTTAGATAGTTTCTTTGAAACTGAGCTTTGAACAGAACTAAACTTAAAGCGTGATGGAAAGACAGATGGAAGGATAAAAGGACAGAAGGACGGACATGACAAACACTATATGCCCCTGCCATATTCATGGTGGGGCATAAAAAATTTTGATGCAGTTGAATAGCTCTCATCAATATCCATCAGCATATACAGTTTGATTAAAATATCTTGAATAGTTTCTTGGAAACTGAGCTTTGAACTGAGATAAACGCAAAGTGAGATGAAAGGACAGATGGAAGGACAGAAGGAACAGATTGAAGGACAGCAAGATGGAATGAAAGGACAGATGGAAGGACAGAAGGAACAGATTGAAGGACAGCAAGATGGAAGGATGGAGGGACGGAAGATTGACATGACACACTCTATATGCTATGGCCATATTCATAATAAAACATAAAAATATTGGAGAGGGCTACATTATTGCAGCTAGGTAATGTCCATCCCAAGATGCATTATCTGTGCAAGTTTGGTCCAGGTAGGGCCTATAGTTACTTCGGAATGAACTTGCTCCTGAAACTTAAACTGGGATGCTGATGTTTTGTTACTACAATGCCGAGGTGAGCTAAAAATGTTGAAACAGCTCAACAGCTTGCATTTATAAGTATGTACAGGTACATTAGGTTTGATAAAAAATATTTTATGATTTATTTTAAATTGGAATATTTACTTATTTAAGAAAAGTGAGGTCAAGGTCAAAAATGTTGAAGCAGTTGAAAAGCCCTCATCAATATATATCAGCATATAAAGTTTGATGAAAATACTTGAATAGCTTCATTGAAATTTAGCCAAACAAAAAGTGTGATAGGACAAAAGAAGGATGGAAGGGAAGATGGATAAGCTAGATATAATAAACACTATATGCCCTGGCCCTATATATCTGTGTTTGTACTCAGTTTTAATGTGTTTTACTGCAAATATTACATATGCTGAAAGGTCAAACTTCTGAAAGTGGGAATTCTACCTTCCAATGATCCACTAAGATCATCTTAGTGGATCTGAAAATTTGTCACCTTCTTTTATTTTTCCTGGTTTTACAGTCCCTGAAACGTTCTACTTTCCCATTTTTCCGTTCGCTCACCGTTCGTTCACCGTTCGTTCAGCGTGCGTTCACCGTTCGTTCACCGTGCGTTCACCGTTCGCTCTCCGTTCACAGTTTTGCGTTCACCGTTCACCGTGCGCTCGCGTTCACCGTTCACAAAGCGTTCAGCGTTCGCTCCTCGTTCCGTTCACTTTGCGTTCACCTTGCGTTCAGCGTTCACTTATCGTTCAGTTTTCATTGCCATTCGGAACTCCCAAGTGAAAGGACTTATCTTTTTGTAGGTAATGAGTTACAGATTTTTTAATTTAATAACTAACATATCGTGTTTGAAGAATCATTATTTCATGGGGGAAAATATCTAAGATATATATTTTTATTATTCTAACTTAGCTATTAGATTATTTATTAAATTACTCTGGAAAATAAATGTTGTTATAAGCACATTCGGTACCTATGTAGAAAGATGCTGATATATTAAATTTAACTAATTTAGGGCAATGTGCAAATACTTCAAGCACTGCAACATTTTGTTGTTTTGTTAAAGACGACAAATCGTTAATGGAGATATAATTATCCAAGTCAAATAATTACGCAGCAAAATTACGAAAATATTTATTTCTAACGCGTTTTTTTATTCAGTTACTACAGAAAATATGATAGAACTAGTTCTGAGAGTTATACATAGTACTGCGGATATCCTGTTAATTTATTATCTTTGGAGCGAATTAAATTGATAGTGTGTTTAAAGGAAATATTTATTTAAAATGTAATGCACTACAGAATTTTCGCTACTATAATACATGTATGTAAAGTCTATAGTTATAGAGAAAAAAATTCTTTCTTCACCTTAACTTTATATGTTTGCCATTCGATAAGATTAATACACCCCCCCCCCCCTTTCCCCTAAATCGGTTACTTAGTCAGTACTGTATTTCCAGAAAATTTTAATTAACCTGTTTAAAAAAAGTTAAGGTCTTTTTTAGAACAAAAATTTCAGTCTCAAAGCAAAAATGCATCTAAAAAAGTCACAAAACAATAGTAGTTCACAATGTACACGTGTCGACGGTGGTATTTGAAATTGGCAGAGAGTATGTTTCAAATTCAAGTGTTAATGCCCAATATATTTTATTCATTTATTATTCAAATGTTGGTATCAAATCTAGAAATGATAAAAATAAATGTTATAACTTGTTGGAAATACTCGCACTTCGTCTTCGATGTGACGAAACTTTCACACCTGCACAGTGTCGAATGATTTTGATTGACAGGACAAGCACGTGGACTTCGTGTAAACTTGAAGCAGGAAAATAAAAACTGTCAAACAGATGGATATGATTTGTTGATAAGAAAAAAAAAGTTACTTTCACTGTCTAATATATTTAGAAAAAAATTTCAGAGTTATTGTTTGATATAGGTACAAACATTTAGTGAAGCCTGAAAGGAAGGGGGGGGGGGCTAAAACGGAATCTCTCTTTCTCTCTCTCTCTCTCATTTGTCTGTTTAATAAAAATTATAACAGCATATTACTTAAATATCAAGTTCTGAAAATTGAATTTATAACAAATAATATGAATATGTATCTTTGTATTATCTTGTCCGAGTATAATCACGGCCATCTACAGATACATGTAGAAGTCTGCTCAATAAATCATCATGAAAAATAGAAATGACACATAATATATTATTGTATTAAAATTTAAAATACGAGCGTATAAATGCAAAACGTCCACTGACCTTTGTAATTATTTTTTTTTTTCATTACTTTACATGAAATCGCCTTGACACGGAGATATATGAATGGATGTTACAATCGCTTTAATTCATTCTATAAGTCAGAAGTTTTCTCTGATTTGTTATCAAATAAGAATAAACATTTTTATTTTCCAACTAAAAAAATATCTTTTATACTTCAGCGTTCGGCAACAATTGCAATGTTTTAATGCGTTAAAATCGTATGATTAAAAACTTAATGTGCATGAATCGTCTTTCTTAGGACAATTTTGGAGAATTTATTTTATTTATTTATTTATTCATTCATTTATTGGTTTACTTATTTATTTATTTATTTTTTTTGGCACCTGACATTATAATACAATAAAATAGTTTCAATGCAAGGAAAAGATCAGAGGCATTCCGAATATATCGTTCATCTTGCGTTCACTGTTCGTTCACCGTTCACTTTGCGTTCGCGTTTGCGCTCCGTTCGCGTTCTGCGTTCGCTCACCGTTCACCGTTCACACATCGTTCACCAAGTTGCGTTCAGCGTTCACACATCGTTCACTCACCGTTCGCTCTGCGTTCGTTCAGCGTTCGTTCACCGTTCGTTCAGCGTTCGCTCACCGTTCAAGTGGGAAAGTAGAACGTTTCAGGGACTGTAACTATTTTAAAATTATAGAGAAAATAAGGTTGTAAAAAATATTATTTAAACATAGAGTATTATTCAAAATAACATACTTGTGTTTTTTCAACCGTAAATCCAAGAATATCTCTACCAACACTTCCACAAAGATCCATATGTGTAACTGAATTGTCAAGATACGCTAACAGTTCTCCTATATGTTGAGCAAGAAGGGCATCTGGTAGGCAGGGATCTACTTCAGAAGATGCATGGCGTGTTTTCTTGATTACAGGACTGCCATATGTATCTTCACCTTTTATGTTCTTTTTAACCTGAAAATATAATAAAAAAAATACTGTGGAAAATAAAAACAAGCAGAGAGAATAATACAAGCTGACTGAGCACATTTTCATCCCCAACTTCACTATGTCAAGGTTTTGTGACACCATTCCTCTTCACAAATCCTAGCAAGAAATATATCCATAGGATATGATCGCCAGGTCCAAGGTACATTCAGATTGCAACAAATGTACCATCTCTTTTTTTGTCTGAAATGTATTAAATTTTTAAATTATGATGAAAGAAGGAAAGGAGATGGGTGAACATAGCGTGCAGAAAGCCTATAGCTTCAGATATATAAAAATCAATTCAATTTGTGAATTTAGTATTTAGATTAAAGTTCTCATTATTGAAATTTATGAAATTATAATAAACAAAAGTTTTCTTAGGAAAATTTTCTCGGCAAAATTTATTCTTTTGTTTAAAAAATAATGTGGTATTCCTGGGGTTCGAACCCTAGCAATAAAAATCCTGAGTATCATTTTCTTTCGAGGCTAGCACGCTAACCACTAGACTACACAAGTCCTGATGAATAGTGGCATTTAAATCATGTTTGTGATATGACCCTTGACTTAATGGACTTCAAGTATTTCTCGAAAAGATGTGAATGCTATGTCATAAAAGTATATTTTTAAGGTATAGTGGGTCTTTGCTCCATGTCTTTGGAAACCAAAAAATGTATATTTTTATGCCAACTTTGAGGATTAACTTTCAAAAAAACGGAGTGATGACCCACTCATAACGAAAAATAGTGTTATAGTGTGAGGAAATGACTCTTTTTGCCCTCTTTAGTGTGTGTATAATATTTCATAAGCAAATAATTTCAATCTTTGTGAGATTTTTGCAATTTGTAGAGATTTTACATAAAGTATATTTTAATATTAGATGAAATATCAAGGAATTTTTTGATATAATTAAAATTTAATTTTTTACCTTAATGTTTGTCACACTATAGGCTTTTAGCTCGTCATGTTCACCCATCTTCTTTCATATATCTTTTGTACACTGAACTCATATCTTCAGTTCAGTTATTGTTTCTTTATAGTACATTATGTGTTGAGTTATCAATATAACGATAACTTGTTTAAGTTATTTTGTGTCATTCCTCCCTAACTTCACACCCCGTGCGCCAAAGGTGCACCAAGACAAAAACAAATGTTTGATTAAATTCAAACCTTGCTCAATCTAGAAAAATTGTTCTCAGACTTGGGAAAATTGGGAAAATTTGTTTATTTAATGATAAAAACTCGACCCATAACCATCTGAATAAAACCTCAAAATCAGGAGTAAAATGCTATTTATCTCCACCTCCTCACCAATTCTCCTTTAGAGCTGGTGCACTCCATCTAGTATTACATAATGGAATCCCAAAAATGCAATGCATATTGGCAGGAAATACAAAACTCCCAAGAAATCAATGTCTAAGTAGAATATGAAAGTAACTTATTTGTTATAATTAAAAACAAGATGTGTTTGTGAAACACTGATGCCCCCGTGTGGCAGCTTATGGCGAAGGTTAAAGTTTCTCAAATGCAAGTCAAAATCCAGGCCAAAAGATAAAAAATGTTGGTACCCAAAGAAAGGTCTTTTCTCAAGGAATACACCTGTGAAATTTGAAAGAACTAGCTGCAACTTTTCAAAAGTTATGGAAAAGGTTAAAGTTTTGTAAAAGTAAGTAAAACGTTAAAGTCAAGGTCAAAGTGGTTGGTATCCAAAGGAAGGTCTTGTCACAAGGATTATATATGTGAAGTATGAAAGACCTAGCACTAACCATTCAAAAGTTATGGCGAATGTTAAAGTTTTTCAAAAGTAGGTCAAGCTCCTAGGTCAAGGTCAAAAGGTCAAAGTGGTTGGTATCCCAAAAAAGGTCTTGTCACAAGGATTACATATGTGAAGTATGAAAGCCCTAGCTCCAACCATTCAAAAGTTATGGCCAAGGTTAAAGTTTTTCAAAAGTAGGTCAAACTCCTAGGTCAAGGTCAAAAGGTCAAAGTTGTTGATATCCAAAGGAAGGCCTTGACACAAAGAATATACATGTGAAGTTTGAAACCCCAAGCACCAACTATTCAGAAGTTATGGCCAAGGTTAAAGTCTCATAAAATTTTGCAAAAGTGGGTCAAACTCCAAGATCAAGGTCAAAAGGTCAAATATGATGGTACCCAAAAGAAAGGTCTTGTCACAAGGAATACACTTGTGAAATATGAAAGTCATAGCTCCAACCAATCAAAAGTTATGGGCAAGGTTAAAGTTGACAACAGACAGACAGACAAACAGACAAACGGACAAATAGACAGACAGGACAAAAACAATATACCCCCGGGATCTTTCGATATGGGGGCATGAAAATTCTGTGTGTGTAAAATAACATATGTAAGTTATTTTTCTAATAACCTGATTGCATTATGCCCCTGCCTGCTTATGGAGGTGTATTTGTGCACAAAGTTAAATGACTGGGTTCAACACTAACATAAGTCTGTTAGTCTCAGACTAATATATTTCCATTTGGCCTAATAAAACTTGTGGCTAACAAGTTCTTATGGACCAATAAAATTTCTGGGGGGAAAAAATGAATAAATTACCTATGTCTAATTCTCAATGACTCTTACTGAAAAACCTCACATGCATTTTTAGTTTTTATCTTTTTGATGGATAGTTAGGTCATAAAATTCCAAGTCAATTCAGGCATAATTTTACAACTGACTGATATGAAGCCAAACATTTTAGTGAACATTGTTTACCCCCCCCCCCCCCACCCCCCCCCCCCCACCAGGTCACATTTCCAAAAACAAAAGGCCGATGGTTTTAGAGGCAAATATAGAATTCTAGGGGCCACAGTTAGCAGTTCATCGGAAGTTGTCTCACCAGATTTGACCTCTTTTTCGTTGGCCGACCAATTTTGTGTCCATCGTGTCAAGTTATCTGCTTTGGTGGCTGATTCCTTCATTGGAAGCAGTTGTTGACTAGTCAACCAACCTTCGATCATTGACCATTGGCAGACAGTTTGGTAAGTCGGTCCTCAGTCAGTTGACATTTAGGGACTGGGTTTTTGTAAATGTCAAGGGTGAAAATCAAACTGCGGCTCAGCGAAAGATGATCGGGCAATGGTATGACAATTTATAAATATTTTAACTTTTAATTGCATTGGTGTTCCTAGGAATTAATGTGAATACTCTGCATCGGCCGACTCTAGTGTCGCCTAATCCTGGTTTTCTTTTACCAGCAATACAAGAAAAATTTGGTCGCCTGACCATCGGCTTGAATGTTACCTAGGCATAAGTATGACAATAAAAAAGTTGTACACAGAAAAGAACAAGACAAGGAATATCGTACTTCCTGATTGCACCCATTGAAATTTCAACAAATCTGTGGAATTAAACACTTCATGTAAATGCTTTATTCCAAAGAAGTATAAAAAAGTGTAAATAAATGTCTATTTTTCAATTAATCCTTATAAAAACTTATGTTTCCTTTTTTTTAATAAATACTAATAAAATTGCATGGAGACTAGTAAAAGTAAAGAAACACTTGTCTGGCCAGACTAATTCCTTAACTGTTAGTGTTGAACCCTGTATGAAGAAATTCATTACGTAATTAGACAAGATGGAGTACAAAATGAGGAAAAAATAAATTCAAGGTCATAGACAAGGTCTAACTAAAAAAATTATGGCACTTTTTAATATGGAAATGTTACTTTGAAATTGATTTAAAGCTAAAAGACCTCTATGGACCTCCATCAGACCTCGGTATCATTAGGGGTGATTTACAGACTTCTTATAGGGTACCAGACTACCAGTGTACCATATTTGATGGCTGTAAAGCAGCTGGTTCTCAAGATATTGAGCTGACAATAACTTTTTATTTCTAGTTTCTATGTTGTTGGATCCTTGCCCTTGGACTTTAAAATCAAGAGGTCATCTCCCTGAGGAAACCAATGTCTGCGAAGCATTTAGAGTTTTTATTTAAATTTAGCATTTAGCTCACCTTAGCACATTGGCTAGAAAGAAGCAGAAATCAGTTCAGTATTGAACGGTGTGTGCTTGTGGGGGGGGGGGGGGGTGGGTGGGGGGGGGGGGGACTTTAATTTACACTACCTCAGGATGCTTCCATATCAATATTACTAATCATGGCTTTGCTGTTCTTAAAAAGAATAATTTTCAAGATTTCCACCCTATGTTTTCGTATGTAAAACTCTGATCTCTCAATGTGGCCCCACCCTACCCACCCTAAATTTGGACAAATTTGAATCTACACTACCTGAGGATGCTTCTATATTAATATGACTAATCATGGCTTTGCTGTTCTTGAGCAGAAGATGATTCTTATATATTCTTATGCAAAACTTTGACCTTCTGCTGTGCCCCCCTACAACTGGGGTCATAATATGAACAAACTTGATTCTACAATACTTAAGGTTGCTTCAGTATAAATATGACAAAAAATGGCTTAATTGTTCTTGAGAAGAAGATTTTTATGATATTTCCATTGTAACGTGTATGATCTGGTTCTTACAAGGGATATATAGATTTTCCTGAGTAAATGATTGGAATGATTATTAAGACTGTCTGAGGGTATATCACACAGTACTTAAATTTTCTCTTATCTAGAGATAGGGACTGGTTAAGCTACTACTTGCACTGTCTCCCCTAGGTTCTCATTGATAGATAAGAACCAGGTGTTTCAATCTTCTTCAGATTTCTTACACCCAGAACTTAACATCAATTTCTAAGGATACTTGCCACTGGTGTTTTATAACTTTCTACTTTTATTCTGCTCTTACCCTTAAGGGACAAAATTCTCTAATAGGACCAAATTCTCTATCCTTAAATGTCCATCACATACATTATACTCTGATATTAATTTTAAAGCATTTTACAGTAGAAAAGGATTAACCAAGAGAAAGTTTCAAAAATGTAATTAACTAAACAGTAATTAATCAAGAAAGATTGCATTGAAGTCTTTGGGGACAAACATTTTTTTTTAATAAAAATTCAAATAATAAGAACATCAATAAATACTGTGGTGGAAAGATGCACTAAAATGTTAGAAATAGAATGACAATTGAAAAACAAGTTTTTTCACCAGATAAGTTTTTTTTGTAAATTGATTTATTTAAATTAAAAACAGAGGGAGATAACTCTTACTCTTAATTCAAGGTCAAAAATTAGGACACATCCCACCCTTAAATGCTAACAGTAAAAAAATGGGAATTATGTCTAAATATCCTGAGTATTCAACACCTACAAATCTGTTATATATTCAATTTCATTGAATCTGTTGCTATTAGGGATGGAATACCTTAATTTCTTTATTGCTGATTCAACATCCAACTTCTTAACACTATCAACATTCAAGGTCATAAATTAGGATGCATCCCACCCTTACATGCTAACAGGAATAAATGGGAATCATGTCTAAATATACTGAGTATTCGACACCTTCACATCTGTTATGTATTTAATTTCATTGAATCTGTTGCTATTAGGGATGGAATACCTTAACTTCATTTTTGCTGATTCAACATCCAACTTCTTCAGTTGGTTTCTGAATGCCTGACTTTCCCCCTTTGGTTTGGCCAGTCCATTCCAAGGGTTTTGAGGTCATTCGATAATTTGAAGTCTTCAATGCATTTTAATCAAATGCCCCTTAACCATTACACCTAAATTCCTATGCAAAACTTTGATCTACTGTTTTCCCCCCGTCCTACCCCAGGGGGTCATGATTTGAACAAACTTGAATCTACACTACCTAAGAATACTTCTATATTAATATGACTAATAATGGCTTAGCTGTTCTGGAGAAGAAGACTTTTAAAGATATTTCCTATATAATCCTATGGTAAACTTTGACCCCCCATGTTGTGGTCCTGCCCTACCCCCAGGGGTCATGATTGGAACAAACTTAATTCTACACTACCTGAGGATCCTTCTACTATAATATGTTTTATCATGGCTTTGCTGTTCTTAAGAAAAAATTTTTAAAAAAATTCCTATATATTCCCATGTAAAACTTCGACCCCCTCTTGTGGCCACTCCCTAACCCCGTGGAGTTATGATATGAACAAACTATAATCTAAAGTATGTAATGAAGCTTTCATACAAGTTTCATCCTTTCTTGCCAAGTGGTTCTTGAGAAGAAGATTTTTAAAAGATGCCACCAAAAGAACAAGGTACAGTTTCAATACAAATCTGGCCCTGTGTTTTTTTTTCAAAATATGAAAGTGATGAAAAGAAATTCAAATTCATGCTTTCTAAAATGTTGAAACTCCATGCTTTAAGATCAAACAAATCATTTTTTATCTCACCTCCTAAATGCTAATTGTGATGTCATAAAATCATGCATTTTCCCGTATTTTATTAAAAAGTTGCTCAAGACATCAATTTTCAGTGAAATTTTCTTTCAGATAATATAGACCACATGCATTGCCCACAAAGATTTTGAGAAATGTGATCTTTCAACAACATATCTGAATACTGAAGTTAGCGATGGCTGTGGACACTATTTTCTCAAGGAAAATTCCCCCTGAAATGAGTCATTTTGAGGCTTTTTCTGCTTAAAATGTAGAAAAATTCAAAATTAATGATGTCATATTTGCAGAATGGTCCTCCTTCATGCCATATTCTTTCATGAATTATCACATTCATATACTCAGCTCATATTTGTGCCAATTTCAAAACTTTTTTAAAACATTACATTTTTAGGGCACAATAAAGCCAAAACCATACCTTCTTTTCATGAATTCTTAATTATCTCCCCTAAAAAGTGGGAGCAGCACTTCCTGTGAAGAAACATAAATCCCCTTCACCCAGGATGCTTTGTGGTAAGTTTGGTTCAAATTGGCCCAGTGATTCTTGAGAAGAAGTTGAAAATGTGAAAAGTTTACGGACTACAGACGACAGATGGATGCTGGCCACTCTTTGATTTGAAAAGCTCACTTGAACCTTCAGCTCAGGTGAGCTGAAAAGTGTTTTTAAAATAGTAGGCAGACAAAAACAGCTTTTATATTTCAAACAACTATTCTCGACCTTAGAGGTTATCCTGCAACATTCATGAAAATACAGACTTTATTTCATAACTATCTTTCTATGCATCATAAAAATCTAAATTTATTTCTTACTAAAATTTAATGCTGAATTTTAAGGAAAAAGTGCTAAATTTGTGTGTCACTAAAAATTCCACATAAATGGTATATTCCTATGTCTAGAGTAGTCTGACCCTTATTTTTTGATCTTGTATCTTCAAAATCTTCAGGGGACTTTTACTCTAAGTCTTTATGGGTAACCAGTTTATAAAGTTTGATATCTGTCAAGCAAAGGGTTTTCAGGATTTTGAATGATCAATATCTTCCTATGTCCATTGACATTTGGGCTTGTGACCTGAAATTCAATTAGTCATATACTCTTTAAAGGGATTAGTTTGATGTCTGCTAAGCAAAGGTTACCAAGACATACTGAATGAACAATACCTTCCTATGTCCAAGATGTCTAGCACCGTTTAACCCATGAACATTGACCTTGTGACCTCAGAACCTACAGTGGTCATCTTCCCCAAGGGGTTACCAGTGTGCCATCTACATTAGTGGTGTTAAAATTGTTTAGTTAATAAATGTCAGAAAAATTAGACAGAACACTGTGAATTTCTTGAAAACTGTGCCAACAACAGCAATAGGCGCCTCGTTAATCTAAATTTTAAACATATACTTGCTATGCTATGTATTTTAAAGCTTAAGAGCACATCAAAAAAAAAAAAATTATATAGGCTTTTAAAGAAGCAAAAGAGTAATCTGGATGATCTAATTTCCTTCAGGTGAAAAACGAAGCGCCACCAGTAAAATGCCATTAGTAAAATTGGATTACCTCAACTTTACCAAAAATCTGAAAAGAAACAAACACTTGAAAGCTCACCTGGACTACCACTATTTAAATCTGTGGAGGGTAAAAGAAGAGAAACTGTCTAGGATGATGTAATTAGAGCTTAAATGAGTAAGTTTATTTTAGGAGAACAATTTATATGTTTTCTTACCTGGATCATGTGGATAACTTATTTAATATATTTTTAAAAATCTAAAAATTAATTTCTGCCTTTATACTGATGAGATAAAATTATTCTATGAGCTTATAACACAAAGTCCCAAGGGCCACAATGCTCATCTGAGTAACCATGGCCCTTCTGTAGAACCTGATAAGTGTAAACAAAGTGTCTAGCCACAGCTTGATATGCCTGTCAAATACTGTTCAATTTACATAAACAGTTAAGAGAGCAAGAAAATCATGTCAATCTTCATACAAAGACTTCAATAATTTTTCCACTCCTTATTATGTTTCATGTACATATATCTCCTGTGGTGTAACTATATATTTTAATTTATAACAGATAATACATTATATGATATCGTACGACTCGTCTTAACATGGGCACATAAAAAGAATGATGTGCCATTACCTAGCACTGACATGTCTTGGTCAGAATTTTGCATTCTAACTAGAATGTTCCAAGGAATGCATGTGTCGCCTGCTTTCTAGCTTCATTCAAAATGTAAATAAATCTAAGGCCAAAGTGTTTTACTTTTGGTTTACGATTCCGCCGACCCTAATTTTTACAAATCATGAAAATAAAAATGTCTTTCTTCCGACATATTTTTCCAAATTTTTCTCAGCTGAACTAGTGGCTTTTAAATTTTAGAATGCATCTAAGTCAAATAAGTGCTTATTAATATACAGGTAACTCTTGATGGCTCGAACTTTGATCTCTCGAAGTTCTTGATCGCTCGAAGTGAGTCTCTGGTCCCGAATTTTTCCCCTATATAACTAAGCAAATTTACTCTTGATTTCTCGAACTCTTGATCTCTCGAAACCCTTGATCCCTCGAAGTCAAAATGCAGTCCCGCTATGCATATTCTATTAGATTTTACCCTCGATAGCTCGAAGTGGCTATGTGTATACAAAGGTTATATAATTAGCACCTTTACCTGGACATTTAAATGGCCCCAGGCAGAAGACGCGGGTCTCGAGGAACGGGATGTTTATTCAGGTGACACTTAGGCTGCAAGGTGATAATTGATTTATAATTAATCATTTTTGTCTATATGCTATTAAAAAAATTATCATCGACTGTCTTACGATGATTCAGAGACGGAATGTCAGTGAAAAGTAATAATTGATTACAAGACGAAACACTAACTTAATTTTTATTTCGAGTCAGTGTCAAAGTTAAACGAAATATGAAAAAGCATAAACAGTCTCAATGTCAATATGATGACTATTGTTGGACAAATACTTACAGAACTGCGTTCAATGATCATGTTAATATGGAATTTATAGTCAGTGCTACATGTATGTATACGACGCGGTAAAATGTCGTTTTCATGTAACGAATGCGTAGTATGATGTCCATATTACAAAGAATAAATAAATATACATGAAATGACAATTTACATTTTTTGCTTTACTCAGTTTAATGAAATATTCATCTAAATTACGAAAAAATATCGTTGTTTTATATAAACCACGTGTAAAAGGTTAGCACTGCATGAAAATCATTACATCCGGTAAGACTAATTTTAAAACCTGTCAACAAACCCGGAAAATTCCGGACTCTTGAAAACTCGAACTCTTGATCTCTCGAAGTTTTTCCTCGTTCCCGCGGACTTCGAGGTATCGAGAGTTACCTGTACGTGACCTTTAAAACATTTAGGTGACCGTAAATAAACAAATGTGCAAACCAAATATGGTGGTTCTGTCATACAACAAGGTAATTCTTCACTGAAAGCAATGATACAAACTTAAAGAACTTTTTCAGAATGGAAAAGTGAATAAAATCTTAGATGCATGATACCCTTTCTCCAATTGCAATGTCTCAATTGGCTAAATTCAAACTGTAATATTGGAGATTCTGAGAGTGCATGCCCAACCATGACCTAGCAGACACAGATACACCTATAGGTGAATAGTTTGGCCAATTTTGGTGTTGAGAGATACATCTTTGTTGAAGTAACGCTGACTGGTATTTCACTGGATAAATTCAAATATGTATATAGCATTTGTTAATTTATAGAAGTAAATTCAATATAAAAATCTCTGCAAATTTGATACTCAATAGAGATTAAAGCCATTTGAATTACTAAGTAAATAATTAGCATTGCCTACTGTGCAGGTACATAACAAAAATTTAAAGAAGGACTTGATTGAGAAATTATTAGGCTTTTGTGCCGCAGGTTGAACAAATTTGATAGCTGAATGATCAAATTATTATAACCTTTTTTTCAACAACTACTTTTAATATTGTTAAACAATTAAGTTGTATTTTTCTTCAATCTAAGTTAAACTTAAATTTGGACCCTATTTTTAGTTTGTGGGGATACCGAGGTTTATAACACATCACTGAAGAGCTCATAAAGAAGTTGAACATCATGAACCAAGCACTGATTAGAACTAAATGAAAATGACATTCAGTCTAAAGTTAGAAATGAATTAAAATTAAATAAAAAGAGTTATGTGATCTAGAACAATAAAGCTTAAAAGTACTATTGGCGTGTATTAATCTATTATTTTTATTAAAATCAACATTGCTGGTATTTTAACATGAAATTGTTGAATCCTATATTATTTTTATTTTTATTTTTCGATCAATCCAATATATTTTTTGGAGACAGAAAATCGTAAATCAAAAAAAATAAAAACTTTGGACTAATAGTGATCAGCTTTCTATTTACCATTAGCATGATAGTTCATGAATGCATTTGCCTGCAAAGAAAAATTGGTATCATGGATAGTACAAGACTGCAATAGAATCTGACAATCAAAGAAAATATGGTTCCCTAACCCCTAAATGAATAATTATAATTGAAATTGTTAAAAATATAACTATTTATCATTTTATTAATATGTGTTTCTTACAATCCTTCAAAAAAGATTTTAGTCTGTCTTTATTGCAATAGTCAGTTTGCACAATTCATTGTGGAAATCTAATCCTGATGTATTTTCATAGTATTTGTGTGGTAACTGAATATCATACAGTTTAAAAGTACAGTATCATGAGCTCATAAACATGTAAAAAGGCTAATTATCAAAATTCTGCCTCTCAAAATTCATAAGTCATAAGTTAATTTACTGCACAGGGTAATTTTTGCAAAGTAGGTCAAAGGTCAAGTGGATTGTAATGCTCAGCCTGGTATTTTTCATAATGTCATATGACAAACAGTGCACATGCTAAAAAGCATAGACTTACCTCTTAAATGTCAAAAATATGCTGTATTGGCACTATGAACAATTTTGAAAAGTTGGAGAGAGTTCAAGGTCAAGGGTCATGAGGATAGTAACCAAGGTAATTTACAAAAGCCATAGTGCCAAGCAATATATGTGCAAAATATCAAATCCATACCTCTTACAGCTTTCGAGATATAGAGTATGGCCGACAGACGCCAGGTAAAATGATCTCTAAATGCTACTCTTTTCTGCATGCTTGTAGGTAAACTATATTATTCACATTGTATCTTCAAGTGTTAGAAAAACACAAAGGCACTGGATGGCACTAAACAGATGGTAAGGAATGGAAAAGGAAAGCAATATACAGTTCACTTGAATCTTTAAGACAGAAATAGTCACAAGATAAAATGTTTTTACCTCTATAACACATAAAACTTTCCCCTCCAAACCATAGCATAATATATCAGGTGCTGAGGAAACAATTTCACCCTTGACCTTCATCTTCTTTATAGCAATATCAGGTTGATGCCTAAAATAAGTGGAAGAGCAATGTAAACATGACTAAATAAAATACACTACTTAATTAGGGCTGATATCTTTGTATTTATAAATGAAATTCTACACAAAAAACTTAAAGTTTTTTTTATTTTGGAGGAAAAAAAATCAGGAATTTCCGGAATTTCATCATTCTGCCATCGGTTTCCATGTTAACACAAAACAAGCATTTCATGTAATTCTAATTAAGTTTTAAATATGGACTTTCATCAAATACCACTTGAGTTGTGCATCAAAAGCCATGAAATTTAATTCTGAAAGACAATATTGACCTGTGACATGTTTAATTTGATCTTGTATACATATTTATTTAGTTCATATCCAAAAAATGCTGTCAGAAAAAATTAAAAAAATAAAATAAAATCATTTTCCTACCTACCTACCCTATTTTTCAAAGGCTGGTAGCAGGAAACAAGACTTTTTTTTTTTGCTCTATCATTTTTGAGGTATCATTTAAAAAAAAGAAAAAGAAGATAATTTAATGAAGACTATCGGTGCTGACAATGCGCTATCGCCTTTGAGAGTTTGGACTGCTAGCCAGACGAGCTTATTTTGGCAAGAGGGCATAGGCGTGCATGAGTCAGCTAGTGCAACACAGTTAGCAACTGGACTCCGAGAAACTGGCAAAGGGTTTGGTTCAGCGATGAGAGCAGATTTTTGCTTCACCATCGAGATGATCGTATGCATATTAAGAGATGACAGAATGAATGTTTTGCCAGGAGTTGTGTGGTAGAAGATGACAAATTCCAAGGAGGCAGTGTTATGATGTAGGGCACAATTTAATACAACCAAAGAACACTGAGACATGATACATGTAAAAATCCTCTAAGACAAGAATATTTTTTCCCTATATTCCTATGTAAAACTTTTATCCCTTACTGTGGCCCTACCCCATTCTTCTGTCACATGATTTGAACAAAATTCATTTGCATTTTATTCATCAGGACTCTGCTGTTTTTTTGAGAAAGGTTTTTTTTCACCTACATCCTCCTTAACATTTTAAAATCTTTTAGTATGATCCTACACTACCCATAGGGGTCATGATTTGAGCAAACTTATATACATGTGCACTACCTGGAAATTTGAACAAATTTCAAAAAGAATTTTTCAACTATTTCAAAACCTTGACTTAAGGAGGTTGGATCCTGCCATCAAAAGTAATGAGAATTTTTTTATCAAGTATATTTTTAGTATTTATACACATAGCTTAATTAAAAATCAAAACAAAAAATGGGGCCAATGCGCTTCTTTTGGCGCTACAGAGCATTTAGTTTGACCTTTTTGCACTGTAAATATGTCTTACACATAAATCAATTTTTAAAGTTTTTCCTCCAATATTTTTTATTCAAATAAATTATGGGAACAAACACAGTCTTATTTCATCTTGAATAGACACATTAAAATTTGTGACAACGAAATTTTTTTTTTATTTACTCCGCATGTTCAATTATTTGACCTTTTTGCACTTAAAAAATTTCATTTTTCTGGCATTAAAAATTTAACAAGCAAAAATATCATTTGAAAGTAATGACATTTTACTGAATTTAAGAAGAACGGTTAAAAGTATCTTACATATTCAGAAAATAAAATAAAAAATGGGGGTCTGTGATGTTAATTTTTAGGTATTACTAAAATAGTGCTAATTTTAAGCTTAAAATAGGGATTTTTTTTTTGATTTTCACAATATATTTGCTATATTTATCAAATATGATGATAGAATTCATGACAGTTTATTTAATATATAATTTAGGACCAGTATAAAACAGTTCACTGCACAAAATAACTCTGTGTGCAGACTACATGTAAAATTAGGAATCCAAACTTAACATACTTTAAATACTTCGAAAGAGAAAAAATGATCATTTTCTTCTTAAAAACCTTCCGCCACAAGATATAGTTCCTCACTTAATGCTTTTGGTATGGAATTTAATAATGGAGTTTTAACTGAATATAGTTTAATTGGCATTGTAGAATCCCAAATTATTGTAAGAATTAAAACTTTATGCAGAATTTTTGAAATATAGGTTAAGATATAAATCTGCTCGAAAGCTCAGAAGCAAACCTCGTTAAGTGAACTAAATATAGTAAATAATGCATATTTACCTGGTGATTATGCCACATATTTTGAGAAAGTCCTCAAATAAAGTTTGAAAGTTGGATTCTGAGACAGAAGCATTCACTTCAATTCCCTCTCTTAAAACAAGTTCCATTTTTTGTTGAAACTCCTCAAAGCGGCATGAACATCTGTTATTATCAAACAAAAATATTATACATTTGCACTTATATGGGCAAGAATTCGTTAATGAAATTTTTGGTGTCAATGTTATTTATCCAGTAAAAAAAAAGAAAAAAAAATAATGCAAATATGGCCATTAACATTGCTTAAATATTAAAGTTAACTTATTTTCATCACCAAATGCAAAATCTTTTCTCAACTTAGAAAAATAACATGAAGGCAGGACAAGTTGTGTGCCCACCATTGAAAACTACAAATGCAAATGTGATATTTCTGCAGAGATTGAGCTTCAGGTCTTATTTATGATATGCCTGAAGAATTATTCTACCTTCGTAGTTATTTATCTATTGAAAAATAGTCCTTTTATCGCTTAAAATGCACATCATGATCAGACATCAGTTCTTTTGTTGAAAAAAATTAAATTGAAAATGGATAAAAGTGCGTAACTTTTCACGTCAGCAAGCATTGTATGTGCGTATTTGCTACAGCAGAACAGAGTTAGAAGCTTGTAACTGGTCTATTTACAATGCATGTTTTACAAGGGTATCAACACTTGGTACTATTTGTGTGTCGTAACGCAACTGACATTTGAAAAATATATCAGGTAAGAAAATACAATTAATTTTCGTGTCAAAACTTGAAAAAAATACAACTATTTTTAAAACAGTTCTCTTGTAAATTTTTAGCAGTTAACCAAATGATAAAAATTTTTACGACATTTTAACCCGAAACCAAATTACGTTGACACGTGACTACTTCGTCTTTCAAACATGGCGGTTACCACTGTTGTCAAGGATGCTAAAAGTGTGGGATCAGGTAAATTTTACCGCACATGCTATGAAGTGTTACGCACAGGTTCTGAGTAAAATAAGGTCTTTGATGATGCTGTTTGATTTACTTTGCAAATTTCTCCAAAAGTAATGATTAGATTTCATATTTAATGTGGTTTGATCCTTGCGAGAGCGCTTTTATTTCGAGGAAAATTTCTGTACGTATCATTGACCCAAACATATTATCCAAGAAAATAGTCTTTGTTACAGTCCCTGAAGCATTCTACTTTCCAACTTGCACGGTGAGTGAACGCTGAACGAACGCAGAGCGAACGGTGAGTGAACGATGTGTGAACGCTGAATGCAACTTGGTGAACGGTAGGTGAACGCAGAACGCGAGCGGAGTGCAAACGCGAGCGCAGAGTGAACGGTGAATGAACGGTGTATGCAAGATGAACGATTTTTTCGGAATGCTCTGATCTTTTTCATGCATTGTTTCTATTCTATTGTATTCTAATGTGAGGCGCAAAATAAATAAATATTCAATAATTGTCCTAAGAAAGATGAAACATGTACATTTATAAAGTAAAACTATTAATTAACTTTCTTACAATATTTTCTGCACATATGTATTATGTTTAAATTCACCTGTTTAATCACATCATTTTTATCGCTGTAAAACATTGTCATTGTTACCGAATGCTGTAGTTTAAAAGATAAAATTATTCTAGTTGTAAAATAAATATGTTATTCTTATTTGATATATAAAACCATTACAAATAATGATTTTCGAAGAGGACATTACTGATTTATAGAATGAATTACAACGGTTGTAACAAACATACATGTATTTCCGTGTTAAGGCAATTCCGTGTAAAATAATGAGAAAAAAAAAATAGAAATATTTTGCGACGGTCTGTGGATGTATTGCATACATATACACTCGTATTTTAAAAATTTAATGCAATAATATATTTATGTGTCAGTGACTTTTTTAGGGCCGATTTGGGACCGAAATTCGGCCCCAGTCCCAATTGAAAATATGCCTGTATTTTCCCAAAATCTAGTGGAAGTTTTCCCAAAGAAAAACTTACAAAATATGTGATCAAATTCAGTTTGTTTATTGCATGTTTTTCAGTGAAGTTCAAGCAGGTTTTGTTGTTCAGCCATGTTGGATTTCTTCATAATTAGATAATTCATACCACTATTGTTCTTGATGCAAGTAATTAGATAATTCATACCAAGAATAGTTTTGATTTGTTATAACAATTGCTTGTTAAAGTAATACAAAGACAAAAACAAAGCTTTTTGACAATGCTTTTTAAGTGACTGGGTTTTCTAGGAGATTCTCAATGTAGCCTTATTGACGCTGAAATTCCCACAATTCTGAGGGCCCCAGCCCCCAGTTCCAAAGTACTGAAAAAAAAAAACACTGTGTGTATTTTCATTTCTTTTATGATTATTTATTAAGCAGACTTCTATACATATCTGTAGACAATTCCCCGAGATTATTCTCGGACAAGATGATACAAAGAAGCATTCATATTATATGTTATAGATTAAAATTTCAGAACTTGATATTTAAGTAATATGTGTCATAGTTTTGATAAAATGGACAAATGAGAGAGAGCTTGAGCTTCCGTTTTACCCCCCCCCCCCCTTTTCCACAAATGTATGTACATGTACATACCTGCAAAAACAAAAATTCTTAATTTTTATCAAAATATGTCATGCAGTAAAACCTTTTTTTATCAACAAATTCATTTTGTTTGACAGTCATAATCGGTTTTTATTTTCCTGCTTCAAGTTCACACGAAGTCCACCTGTTTGTCTGTCAATCAAAATCATTTGACACTGTGCAGGTGTGAAAGTCTCGTTACACCAAAGGTGAAGTGCTACACTGTAGTATATCCAAGAAGTTTTAACATTTTTTATCATTTCTAGATCTGATTCCAACTTTTCCAAAAATTAATAAATAAATAAAATACACTGGGCATGAACACTTGGAATGAATTTGAAACATATACTCCCTGGCCAATTTAAAATACCACCATTGGCACGTGTATATTTTGAACTACTATTGTTTAATGACTTTATTAAGATGAATTTTTTTTTTTAGGCTGAAACTTTTGTGCTACAAAACCTGTTAACTTCTTTTTAGATATTAATTAAGATATACTGGAAATGCTGACTAAATAACCCATATAGGCGAAAGGGGGGGTGGGGGTGGGGGTCTTAATCCTATTGAATGGCAAACATATTAAGTTACTGTGAAGAAAAGAATTCTTTCTCTCTAACAATAGACTTTATGTATGAATTGTAGTGTATTACATTTAAATAAATATTTTTAACCATACTATCAATTTAATTCGCTCCAAAAATATTTAATTAACTGGATATCTGCAGTACTCTTGATAATTCTCAGAACTAGTTCTAATAATGTATTTCTACAGTAATCATGGTAATTGACAAAAACGTGTTAGTAATAAATACTTTTGTAATTTTGCTGCAATTGGTAAATTAATTGACATGGATTATTATCTCTCCATTAACGATTTGTCGTCTTTAACATAACAAAATGTTGCAGTGCTTGAAGTACCTGTATATTGTCCGTATTTAAATTTAATTTTTCAGCATTGTTCTACATATTAGGTACATACTTATAACAACATTTATTTCCAGAGTCATTTAATAAATTAGTATAATAATAAAACATATTGTAGAAATTTTTTTCCCATGAAAATATGATATGTTAATTATTAAATTTCAAATCCTGTAAATCCTTACTTTCAAAAAAGATAAGTCCTTTCACTTCGGAGTTCCGAATGACAGTGAAGACTGAACGATAAGTGAATGCTGAACGCAAGATGAACGCAAAGTGAACGAATGGAGAGTGAACGGTGAACGCTTTGTGAATGGTGAATGCGAGCGCACGGTGAATGCAGAACGCAAAACTGTGAATGGAGAGCGAATGGTGAACGCACGCTAAACAAACGATGAACGAAAGGAACAAGAGGACCAAGGGCCTTGAATTGCTCTTCTGATAAACTGTACATCCTAACACTT